GTGAAGGTTGACTCAGGCAATCTTCCAAACAGCCCTGTGTGGAAAGCACTACCAACATCCATGTTTACAGATGGAGGTCCTCTCCACCTGCAACACTCTATCCTCAGGGGAAAATACAGTGGGCAAGGAGCCTTACCGTTTCTGCAGGAGGATGGGTGCTCCTGCACCAAAGACCCAGTGAGGGTGCAATGTGTGAGGTGTGGGGTGGGTGTGATACGTGTGGCATGGGTGGTGGGCCTGGTGTGTGCGGTGTGTGTGTGTAATGTGTGTGGTGTATGGTGTGTGTAGAGGGTGTGGAGTGCGTGGTGAGTGTGGTGTGTGCTGGGTGTGGTGTGTGGCTGCCCTCAACAAGCCCACAGAGTGTGGGTCTTCACAGGCCTGTGCTCCAAACTGACCACCCTTGAGAGGGTCAGACTTTCCTTTGGGAGTTATGGCTATCTTGTTTGGGACAATTCTACACTGACCTGCCCCTCACACTGTGACAACCCAAAATACCCTTTTAGACGTTTCCAAACACCAGCTGGAAACTCTGTGTGTGTGTGTGTGTGTGTGTGTGTGTGTGTGTGTGTGTGTAAGGGGTACAATAGCAGCTCTGGCTGAAAACTGATGCTACTGCTAAAGAGTTCAGATGATAGTTCCCAAGTCAAAAGTGGGGATGGGCGAGGGGAGATGTCCCTGTTCTTATCTCTCTGTGCCCTCACTACACCCAAGAGGCACACCGTAGGCCTCAGGGCAGGTTGGGGCCAGTGGGACAGCCCATGTAGACCTCTCTAGGCCCTCAGATGGAGCTCCGTGGTCCCGGGATCCACCTCCTCCACGCCCCCCCTCCCCGACCCCAGTACTTCCCTGCCCCTGATTCTGCCCCTCCTGCCTGACCTTGCCAGACAGAACGGATCAAGCCCTGGTTTGTTTAGCCAAAAGCTGCCAACTCACAGCCCTGCAGGCAGGATTTTTTGTTTAGCTGACACCAAGACTTTATTTTCGCTTCTTAATTTAGTTGCCACGTTTTAAAACTAGGAGATTCTGTATAAAAAGCTGGATTTTCAGTGTATCTTGAAAAATCAGAAGATCAAGCACCCAAGCCCACATTCAGCATGATGGCAAGGGCCCGGGGCCCAGTGGGGGGCAAATCAGCCTCTCTGCAGCGAGCAGACCCTGCATGATGGGCCCCTCTTTGGTCAGTCTCTTTACGCTTCCGCATCTGCTAACATCCAGCTTTTCTCCTCTGTCCCCGCTCTGCTGCCTCAGCCAAGGGAAGCAGGAAAGCTGGGGCAGTGAGGGAGAAAAATGCTTCCACTCTGACCTGGGACTTATATTCCCAAGAATGTCTGCAGTTCAACTCAGCAATGACTGATCTCGTTCTGAAGACTCACATATAGCCCACAAAAGTTATTTGTATCCCCTACCCTGGCTAAAATAAACTTTGACACTAATAGTCCTGACCTTCCAAAACTAAGAGAGCATTTGCTGCTTCATCTCTCTAACCTGGTTTACATTTAGAAGCTTTTTTCCTTCTGATTACTGACAGTGAAAGGTGCTTTCCCTGGCCTTTGGGAGCACATGGGGATGGGAAGGGAGGAGATGGGCCAAATCAGTTGATTTTCTGTCTTTTTCGATTCCCATCTCATGAGAGAGACTAAATCATCCAGGGGCAGAGAAATGGTTTAAACGTCAGGAGACGTGGGTTTCAGAGTTGAATTTGTTAGATACATGATCATGGGCAAGCCACTCTACCTCTTGAGATTAAAAAAAGAGTTGCGGGCTTCCCTGGGGGCGCAGTGGTTGAGAGTCCGCCTGCCGATGCAGGGGACATGGGTTCGTGCCCCGGCCCGGGAAGATCCCATATGCCGTGGAGCGGCTGGGCCCGTGAGCCATGGCCGCTGAGCCTGCGCGTCCGGAGCCTGTGCTCCGCAATGGGAGAGGCCACAACAGTGAGAGGCCCGCGTACCGCAAAAAAAATAAAAATAAAATAAAATAAAAACAAAATAAAAAAAGAGTTGCACTACATAATCTATGAGTTCCGTTCCATCTCTCAAAGTCATTGATTCTACTGACCTGATACACAAAGACATCTCCATGCTGTGATGCCCCTTTTATTCAAATGCTTATTTCTTTAAAATATATGTTGTTAGTTTGTCACTGCCCCTGAGGATCACCAAGCAACTTCAGGAAAGCTGGGCTGGGAAGGCTGATGTCCGTTCATGCACAGAAGAATATGCTTAGAAGTCAGGATCCTGGCTTCCTGCCCCTGGCTGGGAGCACTTTCCTCTCATCTTCCTGTTCTGCAGTTCTTAAAAGTCTTATTTTTATATCTGATAAGGGGTTAATGTCCAGTATATATAGAACACCTACAACTCAACAACAAGAAAACAAATAACCCAATCTTAAAAAGGGCAAAGGACTTGAATACACATTTCTCCAAAGAAGATATACAAGTGGCCAATAAGTACATGAAAAGATGCTCACCGTCACTCATCGTTAGGGAAAAGCAAATCAAAACCACAAGATATTATCTTACACCCATTAGGATGGCTACCATCAAAAAACTAACACGTGTTGATGAGGGTGTGGAGAAGATGAAGCCCCTGCTCGCTGTTAGTGAGAAGTAAAATGTTGCAGCTGTGGTGGGAAACAGTGTGACAGTTCCTCAAAAAAATTAAAAAGTTATTGCTTAATGGGTTCCGAGTTTCAGTTTTGCAAGATGAAAAGAGTTCCGGGGATGGATGGTGCTGATGATTGTACAACAATGCGAATATACTTAATACCACTGAACCGTACACTTAAAAAGGGTTACAATGGTACATTTTGTTATGTGTATTTACCACCATGAAAACTTTTTAAACAATGACTTGAGATAGTGATTTGGCTTAACAGAAAAAAAAAGTATCAAGAAACAAGCAACCCTCTGTAAAGACAGATAAATTAGAGGTGCTACAGTCACATGACATGAAGAGAGTAAAAATACTTCAAAACAGAGTAACTTGTGCCTGGGGTACTACAACTGGCCTTAAGCTCCAGGATGAGGTAGATAAGGACGAATTAGCACATGGTAATGAGACAGGTTGGGATCTGGGACCTGGCACCCTTTGCTGCAGGGCTTGCACCTGGACAAACATCTCCTTGAGCAAAAAAATACAAAGAAACTACAAGGGAGTAAAAATAACTGCGTATATGTGCAGTTGGGGCAAATTATGGACAACAAGATACAAAAAGACCAAAAAAAACCCAACTGCTACTTCCGATGAGTTGGGAGCAAAAGCACTCCCCCTGCTCCCAACACCACCTAAGGGGCGGGCAGACCACCTAAGCCCCCCTTCCTGCCCAACCCCTGGACACACCCCTACCCTCACCCCATGTAAGGAACTAGGTGGCACCCCTCGGTGAGTGAGCAAGGCAAGCTGTTACTTGTTTTCATTCCTTTTGCTCCTGTGGCCTCAGGAGCCCCAATAAAGCCTTGCCTGAGTTTCTTGTCTGGCCTCTTATCAATTTCTATTGATTAAGGGAAGGTCAAGAACCTTGGTCAGTATCAGTAATAGAAGTTGTAGGATATCAACACAATGGAGGTGATGCAACCACAAAAATTACACTTCAAGACTGTGTAACATCTCGGAGAAATGCTGCTGACATGATATTGAGAAAATAGCAAAATACAAAACCGAAAGGTAAAACTGAGTAGTCAAATTATGTGTGCATTTAGACAAGGACTAAATGGAAAAGGCAAAGTGAAATTAGTTCCTGTGTTAGGGTAGATTTTTTTTTCTACTTTAAAATGCATCTTTAAAAGTGTTATAATAAGTGTATACAAAAAATAAGAAGATAGTAAACGAGGGTTGAATAAAACAGAATACCCAAGGTTCTCCCTCTCAGAAAAGGAATTGCTCTAAAAGGTACAAGATCACCATTGCCTACAGAAGAAACACTTATTTTCAGTCTCAGTTACAAAGAGCAAATGGAAACTGCTGATGAGAAGAGACACCTTTTGGACCCACGGCAAAGGTTGCTTCAGGTCTGTCTGGCCAGACCACGTCATGCTTTATTTTCGTTGCTCTGGTTACATTCCCCACGTGATACCTGGTCCTGGAGATCTCTGTGTTTATGACTTTTCCTACAAAGCTCCAAGTGCATGGACAGAACCTATTTCTGTGACTATGGCAATGTCACCACTCAAGTCTCTTGCCAGATGAATGATAATTAAATATGGGGGGTGGGGGAGGGAAAGACTGGGAGTTTGGGGTTAGCAGATGCAAACTAGTATATATAGGATGGATAAACAACAAGGTCCTACTGTGTGGCACAGGGAACTATATTCAGTATCCTGTGATAAACCACAATGGAAAGAATATGAAAAAGAATGCATATATATGTATAACTGAGTCACTTGGCTGTACAGCAGAAAATAACACAACATTGTACATCAACTAGACTTCAATAAGATTTTTTCAAAGGGGAGTAAATACAGCCTGTTGGTTAGACTGACTACCTGCTGTTACTTTTTTACTAAATAATCTATCAAATAATGCTGCACTGTGTGCTCTATATCACAGAGATGTGCAGGAGAAAGCAAGCATACACAAGATCACAGGTGCTGCAGAGGTCAGCGTGTCCAAGGTCCAGAGTTTCATGTCTGGCAGGTGTCATTATACTGAGAAGCCCATAAACTGGAGAAGCAAAAGAACCTCTTAGCGTGGCTTGACTTTGATTCCACGGTTTGATGTTCTGTGGGTCGGTCATGTCTCCGGAAGCCAAACGCGTACAGACAAGAGAAGCCTGCAGGTGCTGCCAGCTCTGGGCTCCAGTGTCAGATCCCAGACACTGGGATCATAAAGTACTCCTCTGTGCCCCAAGGGAGGGCATCCAGGCTCCTGGTTGGCAATAAAGTCCTCTTTTTCCATCTAGATGGGGACTTGGTGCAAAGCTTTCTATCCCTTTCCTTGTGGTGGGGGAAACATGGAACAAACACAGTGTCTTGTAAGTTTCTGAAGATAAAGGGAAAATCCATCTTACGAATGTCCTGTGTTCCCCAGGAGTGGCTGGAGAAACAGCCCTGCAGTTCCAAACACGCAGATGATTATAAACACCCACAGGAACACCCTGTCCACCACCGTGGCCACGTATTTCCAGTCGTCCTCTACCTGAAAGACAAAAGTCAAGCAACTGTAAAAAAAATCAAAACCATGGGAGATAAGCTTTGTCTCATAAATAAGCTGCTTCCTTTTCACAGATTTCCTGGCAATTTTAAAGCAAATATCCCTGTGATTGTGGTTAACCCGTGTCTCCTCTGTAGCACACAGAGAACTTCCGTTTGTCTGCAGAGGGTGAGTGCATGCGCTCCATCAGTCCTTGGACAGCGGGCTGCAGAGTGAGCAGGCTTATGTGGGCACACAGGACCTCTCCTGACTGCAGGCAGCACCCCAGAAAGAGCTGCTCGGAGAGCTCCACTTTTGTGTTGACTGAAAAAAACTGCATAACCTAACAGTTGAGAATTATGTTTTATTCAGTGGATTTTCTGAGGAATTCAAGCCCGGGAGGCAGCCTCTCAGATCGCTCTGAGGGACTGCCCTGAAGAGATAAGGGGAAAAAAAGTCAGGGCATAGAGGAGGTTTTGCACCAAAGACCAGGTAGCCGGAACATCGAAAGATTAGTTGTAGAGCATTGTGTTGCATTTGACTGCAACAGTAATCCTTTGATGTTCTGACCACCTGGTTTTTGTTGCAAAACCTCCTACATATCCTGGTTCCCCCCATCCAATCTCCTGAGGTAAACCACAATGGAAAAGAATACCAAAAGAATGTCTATATGTGTATAACTGAGTCACTTTGCTGTCCAGCAGAAATTAGTACAACATTGTAAATCAGCTATACTTCAATTTAAAAAACGTTTAAAAAAAATTACTGTTAATTAAAGAAAACCAGACATCTCAAGTTAAGGAATTTAGCGCTTTTCTATGTATTAGAAGAGGCAAGAGCCTGGGTTCATGGAAATCATTCCTTTGATATGCAACTTAGCTATCTAGGGCCAGCATCCTTCTTTCCTCCACCCTGAATCCCCTCAGGGTGCACAGTTGGGGGTGACTGCAGTGGTTGATGGCTTGATGGGTGCAACGTCCTTCGTTTACTGATAGGGCAGGTGACAGTTCTCATCCACTCTTGTCATGGACACCACGGGACAGTCTGACTCCTTGGCAAGTCTGGGAAATGGGTTTGAGGCGGGTGTAGGATGTGCGATGTCCCCATCAGGAATAGGTGGCCCTCTAGAACTCAGGATCCCACTGGTCAGGGAGAGTTCGTTACATCTCTCATGTCCTTCCTGTTCCCGACCTCCAAGAGCCCTACCTGGTGGTGATCAAGTCAGCAGCAACTGTGCCCTAGTTTGACGAAGGTGTCACCACAGAGGGGGGTCCTAGGCTCACCTGGCCCTAATGCACCCCCTCCATGACCTGTGTGACATGCAGCCCGTGTCCGCCTCAGCACCAATGGGTGGACTTCAGGCCTGCAATGTCCTTTCATTAGGAGATAAGGATGATGGCTACTGCCATCAGGTCAGACCCCTGGCGGCGGGAGTTTTCAGAGGCCCCCGGCTAGTCATCCTGATGGTATGGAACATTGGCATAAAGTTCTTGAGCTCTCTCTCTCTGGAGGATGGGGAGGTCCGAGCTGCTATAGTTAGACTCTGGGCGGCAGAAGCAGACTGTGTTGATGCTAAAAATAACCCTGAGGTTCATTCAGTCAGCACCTGGATCCCAGTCAAGTGGAGTAAGTGGGATTGGAGCTGCCGGAGGCTCACGCCACCTTCCTCCCAGGCTCCCAGACTGTGACCAACCCTGCAGGCTTTCCTCCTGCCCCTCAGCCGGCTTTTCCCTCTCCCACCCTTCCTTACGCAGGGGCTCTCAGTTTAACAAACCAAGGTTGCCCTGAGTGTTTATTTTAACCAGATTTTACTTGAGTTGACATTTCTGGAGGCAGAGATTTGCTCTGAGGCTACACCTTACCCCACCCCCTCCCCAGGGCAGTTCACCCATAACCGCATCATCACAGGGCTGGCTCTTAGGGCACCACTCCCTGACCGTCTTGCAGACAGAACTCACATTGAAGATCTGACATGCCTATGCAGGGCCCCCAGGCCTGCTGCGGGTGAACAGGCTAGAAGAGCCATACATTTACCTCCTTTGTTTCATTTTGGTTCTTCCTGTTTTCTGCTATGAATTGAACACTATCAATTACATCTTCGACTTCAGGTGAGGGCTCCAAATTTTCAGTCGTCCGTTGTAAAGGCTGATGATTTAATCGTCTCTTGCTGGTGGCGATCTCACTGGACTTACGACAGTGGCAGCATTCTTTAAGAAGTTTGGGCTCTCTGCGACAGTCAAACTTGCCTTTGGCTGGCCTACCAGAGGAGCCTTCAGGGTTTTTGTCATATCTTGTCCCCTTCCTCTTGTCCAGAGGCCTCCTCATCATCAGGATCTGGGGTAACAGCCGGAGGAAGACTGCCTTCACCCACGTGGGCATGGTGTGTGTGGTCAGGGTGCGATAGTGGGTGTTCAACACAAACACCGTCACCACGATGGACAAGGTGACGAAGATCATGGTGAACAGCAGATACTTGCCCACCAAGGGGATCACGAGAGACGTAGATGGGATGGTTTCTGTGATCACCAGCAAAAACACTGTCAGGGAAAGCAGAACTGAAATGCAAAGCGTCACTTTTTCACCACAGTCAGAAGGAAGGTAGAAAATCAGCACAGTTAGAAACGAAACAAAGAGACAGGGGATGATCAGATTAATGTTTTACACAAACATCGGCAATCTTCTAATGTAAAAAGAATAGGTTATGTCTGTGTATATCTCTTCACAACAGTTGTATTTTATGTCATGCTTGTAGCCAGAAGCATCAACAATTTCCCATTCACTGTTTTCCCAAAATTCATCCATGTCCACTCTAGAGCCAATGATTAGAAGATCGATTTCAGCTTTGTCATAGGTCCAGGAACCAAATTTCAGGGAGCAATTTTGATGATCAAAAGGGAAAAAAGTGATATCCATAGGACAGGAACTCTTAAAAATAGCTGGTGGAGTCCAGGTTATCATGCCATCGTATTTAAGAAGAGCTTTTGTCTTGCCTTTGACTTGGAAGTTGCCGACAGCACTGCAAAGTAAATCAGACACCATTAGTGACACCCCTTGTGCTTTGGGTCAGCCTGTAGCAAAGGCAACTTTGGAAAGAGACTGGCTGTCAGATGCCCATACTTGTTGTAGAGAACAATGCCAGGCTTCCAGATCTTCTCCGCAGGAACACGGAGAGTCTCAATGCCATCGTATTCCACTGGGTCCCAGCGCAATTTATAATCGTTCCACATCTAAAGGGAATAGAAGTCAGTTTTTAAAAATTCTTGGGCTTCCCTGGTGGCGCAGTGGTTGAGAATCTGCCTGCCAATGCAGGGGACACGGGTTCGAGCCCTGGTCTTGGAAGATCCCACATGCCGCAGAGCAACTGGGCCTGTGAGCCACGATTACTGAGCCTGTGCATCTGGAGCCTGTGCTCCGCAACAAGAGAGGCGGTGATAGTAAGAGGCCGGCGCACTGCGATGAAGAGTGGCCCCCGCTTGCCACAACTAGAGAAAGCCCTCGCACAGAAACGAAGACCCAACACAGCCATAAATAAATAAATAAATAAAGCAAACTGTCAACAAGTAAAAATAAATAAACACTATTAAAAAAAAAATTCTTGATTTTCTTCCAATGTTAATTCTATGTTGGTTCAACAACTTTTTGAAAAATTTCTTATTTAAAGAGTTGGTTTCCTACCCAAAGTTGGAAGATGAAATCCATGGGAAACAAGGTAGCTGAGCTGATTTTGGGCAAATATAGATATTAGATAAGTATCTATTGATTATTAATTAGCTAGCCAAGTGTACAGGCTCAGCTTCCATATTCCATGGACTATGCTCAATCTCTAGTAGCAATCCATTTCTAGTATTAAAAAGATAATTCAAGTGTATGATGATGGGTTTGTTACAAAATCTGCATAAAACATTGAGACAGGAAGGAAGAACAAGATGGTATGACTGATAAAACCAGACGGTGGGAATCTAACCCAGAGCAGGATCAAAGAGTGGGCAAGAATCTGGCTCTGGAGCTCGAGATTCAGACAAAAATAGCAGACTTGAGAGCAGAAACCACCGAAGCAGAGTCAGAGAGAACTCTGTCACTAAGTTCTGCAGCATGAAGCTTGAACCCAGCCAGCCGTTACCGGATTGAACTTTGGGCTTTGGAGCTAGTTAATATTTTATGCTCTGTCATAAGCTGGAGATACAAAGAGGGAATGTTAGTAGATTTTATCCATTGGACGTTGTTAAACTGACACACAAGTGTGACACAATTCCAAGAGAAGAACGTGTGACATAGACACATACGTGACGTAGCCACAGATTGGTTTCCATGATCTGGTTTACTTCATCCTGGGAAGAAGAAACAATATTTTTTAGCCTCAAATGTATTTGCTAATAGAAGTGAATCTTAGAGCAAATATTACAACTAAAAATAGCCAATCTGAGTTATTCATGCTAAAGGAGGGAAAAAAAGCAGACTGAAAAGGCAATTTATAAAAGGCCAAAAATACAATATTTCCACACTGGCCCCAACCCTGTTGACTTTGAAATGTGGCATTATGACTGTCTTTCAAATCTGATTGAAGTCCCACTTCTGTGAAGCCTTTCTGACCACTGCAGCCCGTAAAGATTTCTGATCCCATAAAAGGAAAGAAGGGAGAGAAGAGAGAGTGGGAGGGAGGGAGGGGAAGTCCTGCAGATGGCGATGGGTATCATCGCTTTTGCCATCTTCTTCCACAGCTGTGCCCCAGCACCCTCTAGGTCCTGAGTCCTGAGCCCCACTGCCCCTCAAGGTGTCAGCCTCAGCTCACCATGGAGTTCTCCAGCTGGAACCTGCCACTCCCCAGAGCACTGCTCCCACCCAAACAGCTGCCGATTGCTTCATTCATTAACAAGTATTTATTGAGTACCTACTATGCGCTCTATAAATGCTGGGGCTACAGAAGTAATCAGAATGGAAAATATCCCTACCTACATGTGCCTAAGCTATTAGCTGGGGAGACAGAAAATCAATAATAGATACATGGTATAATGTAAAATAGTGATAAGTCCCATGAAAAAAAATAAAGAGGGATTGAGTGGTGTGTGTGTCTGCACACACACGTACACACGTCTCTTTTATTTTTTTTTATTTTATTTATTTATTTTTTTATAAATTTATTTATTTATTTATTTTTGGCTGTGTTGGGTCTTCGTTTCTGTGCGAGGGCTTTCTCTAGTTGTGGCAAGTGGGGGCCACTCTTCATCGCGGTGCGCGGGACTCTCACTGTCGCGGCCTCTCTTGTTGCAGAGCACAGGCTCCAGACGCGCAGGCTCAGTAGTTGTGGCTCACGGGCCCAGTTGCTCCGCGGCATGTGGGATCTTCCCAGACCAGGGCTCGAACCCGTGTCCCCTGCATTGGCAGGCAGATTCTCAACCACTGCGCCACCAGGGAAGCCCCACACGTCTCTTTTAGACAGGATGATCCAGGAAGGTTTGTCTGAGGAGGTGGTTTAAGCAGGTACCTAAATGACCTGCAAAGAGTCCTGGGTCTCTTGAATAAAAGCGTTCCAGTATGACATGCCAAATATAATGTGTTCCTAATCAGCTACCACCTCTCAGTGGAGCAGCTACTGAAGACACATCCAGAACCTTCAGCAGTCTCACAGCGCAACACTTGGAGGCTATTGATGGTCACCCAGTGGCCGGCAGTGGGTTCCCAAAACTTACCAACCTTGTTTCCCCAGACACATGAGCACCTTCGAGAGTAAACACCTCACACTGGTTGAGGAAGCTGTGGCCAGGGCTGGACACCAGCCCACTCTGGTTTGCTGCTCTGCAGTTCTCCATGCCCCCCAGAAAACGCTACCTGGAGACCTCACCAGCTTTCTCCTTCAAAGGGATTTGTGTCAAGTCATGATAAGCCCCAGGGTTTTAAAAGGTCAACAAAAGGAGTTACATTCATGGTTTTCTATTGGTCAGGGCAAGCAAAGAAATGGACTATTACTTATCCATGACTTTACAATTACCCAAGTCTAAGGACAGTGTCTTCTGCTCATACCTTGTGACCAGCAGATTTAAGCAGGGGCCATGTCAATAAATCCATTGGCTGCCAGTCAGGAATGGACTAGCTCTAGCAGTCCAGAAATGTCTCGGAGGTAACAGTCATAAGCATCTTCCAATGACTGCTTCCTCTCTGTCCACTAATACACTGTTTAGAGAACTAGTGCACACTGTGAACTAGAACGTTGTATTCTGAGAATTAAAATCAGTTGGCAATATCATCCCGACAGTATTCCTGTCTCCCCATCTATACTTCCACAGCCTGGTGAACCTCCATGTGGTGTGGACCTGCTTCATGGTGGATGGACACTCTCAGAGGTGTCAGCCAAGTTTATGGGTCAGGACCGGGTCTGGAAAGTCGCATTCTCCATCCAATGCCAAACCGCACCTATGGTTATGGGAACTGCTATCAGACAGCCCAGCTGAAGGAGGCCAGAGACCCACAGTACAACCCCACGTTCCTGGGACCATCACCCTGTGTCTTCTTCTTGGGAAAATAAAGTAGTTGACACCTGGTTCAATTAAAGGATTGGAGTTACAATTTCAAATGGACTAGATTCTGGAGCAGCAGCAACAGACTCAGAGACTGAGATCAGAAAGGCCAGGTGGGTTACATTTTGAAAGCCTTCGTGTTCGTCATGTCAGATATGCCAGGCCATCGAAAACACTGGGCAGGGGCTTTGTCCTGGCCCCATGAGGGGGACAGTGGAAATACACTTACTCTGAAGATCATCCACTCATTAGACTTTGTGGCCAAGTTCATTATATGCAGCAGCAAACACCCTTCCATGTAGAGCTCTCTGGTGCTCTAAGGCCAAGCCTGAGGCCCAAACAGCAGCAGACGGCCTATAGTCTTCTAGAAGGGAGTTGGTAATTGTGCATCTGGGCTGTACTGCATCACAGTCACTCCCAGACCTCACCATGGCTCAGTGACAACAATGAATATGGCCCACAGGGACTTCTGGTTCCCCACATGAGGACAAGTAGACTCTAATACACCAATAAGAATTGCTATATTAATACTGGACAAAGCAGATGCAGAGGAAAAATGTTACTAAAGACAAAGAGGGACATTACATAATGAAAGAAGGATCAATCCACTAGGAAGACACAATGACCCTGACCATATATGCACCAAACAGCAGAGTCTCAAATTATATGGAACAAAAACTGATAGAGCTGAAAGAAGAAACAGACAAATCCCCAATTACAGTTAGAGACTTCAATATCCCTCTCTCAGCTACCAATAGAACTCAGTAAACTCAACAGAATCAGCAAAAATTGGGAAAATCTGAACAACGTGATCAACCAGCAGAATTTAATTGACATATATAGATACTCCACTCAAAAACACCAGAATACACATTTTTTCAAGCATGCGTATAATATTAACCAACGCAGAGCATATCCTTATCAGAGGCCATAAAACAAACCTCAACAAATTTAAAAGAATTGGAATCATAGTGTGTTTCTGACCATAATGGAATCAAACTAGAAATCAATAACCAAAAGACAACAGGAAAATCTCTAAACCCACGGAAACTGAACTTCTAGATAATCCATGGGTCAAAGAGAAGGTCTCAAAGGAAATTCTTTAAAACACATAGAGCTGAATGGGAACAAAAATACAATATAACAAAATATGAGGGACATAGCTAAAAAAAGTGCTAAGAAGAAAATGTATAGCTAAATGCTTACATTAGAAATGAGAAAAAGTCTCAAGTCAATAACACAAGTTTCTACCTCAAGAAATTAGAAAAACAAGCACAAAATAAACCCAAAGCAATTACAAAGAAGGAAAAATAAAGGTAAAACAGAAATCAATAAAGTTGAAAAGGAAAACAATAAAGAATATCAATGAAACAAAAAGCTGATTCTTTGGGGTAAAAACAACAAAATTGATAAACCTTTAGCAAGACTGACAAAAATAAAAAGAGAGAAGACACAATTCACCAATATCAGGAATGAAACAGGAGCTATCATTACAGATCCTATAGCCATTAAAAAGTTAGATAATACCATGAGCAACTTTAATTTTATCATAAATTTGGCAATTTAAAAGAAATGGGCCCATTCCTCAAAAACCAAACTAACTAACAAGGACCTACTGTATAGCACAGGGAAATATACTTAATATTTTGTAATAAACAACAAGGGAAAAGAATCTGAAAAGTGATATAAATAGACAGTCTGAATACCCTATAGCCATTTAAGAATTGAGTTTATAATTAAAAAGCTCCTGGGAAAGAAATCTCCAGGCCCAGTAAGTTTCCCTGAAGAATTCTACCAAATATGTAAAGAAAAATCAATACCAACTTTCCACAATCTCTTCCAGAAAATAGAATAGGAGGAAACAACTCCAAATCCTTTATGTGAAGCTAATATTATCCTGACACAAACCCAAACAAAGACATTATGAAAAAAGCAAATGACAGATCAATATCTCTCATGAACTTAGATGCAAAAATCATTAACAAAATATTAGCAAACTGAATCCAACAATGTATAAAAAGTTATACACCGTAACTAAGTGGGATGCAAGGCTGGTTCAACATTCGAAAATTAATCAATGTAATTTACCATATCAACAAACTAAAGAAGAAAAACCATGTGATCATATCAATTGATGGAGAAAAAGCTTTCGACAAAACTCAACATCAATTCATGATTAAAAACTCTGTGAAACTAGGAATAAAGGGAAATTTCCTCAACTTGATAAGAGCATCTACAAAACAGCTACACCTAACTTTATACCAAATGGTGAAAGACTGAATGCTTTTTCCTTAAGACTGGGAACAGGACAAGGATGTCTGTTGTCACCACTCTTATTCAGCATAGTACTGGAAGTTCTAGCCACTGAAATGAAGCAAGAAAAAGGGGGGAAAGGCATAGACTGGAAAGGAAGAAATAAAACTATCTCTATTTGCAGATTATAAGGTTGCCTACAAAGAAAATCCCATGGAATCTATAAAAATGCTGAAACTAAGTGAGTTCAGCAAGATCTTAGGATACAAGATCAATATACAAAAGTCTTAAAATTCTATATACTAACAATGAGCATGGAGAAACCAAAATTAAAAGCATAATAGGGCTTCCCTGGTGGCACAGAGGTTGAGAATCTGCCTGCTAAAGCAGGGGACACAGGTTCGAGCCCTGGTCTGAGAAGATCCCACATGCCGCGGAGCAACTAGGCCCGTGAGCCACAACTACTGAGCCTGCGCGTCTGGAGCCTGTGCTCCGCAACAAGAGAGGCCACGATAGTGAGAGACCCGCACACCGCGATGAAGAGTGGCCCCCGCTTGCCACAACTAGAGAGAGCCCTGCACAGAAACGAACACCCAACGCAGCCAAAATAAATAAATAAACAAATGTAGGGTTTAAAATAAAAAAAGCATAATATTATTTTCAGTCACTCCCAGATAAAAGAAAATACTTACGTATACATGTAACAATACGTGTATGGGATCTGTGTACTGAAAATTACAAAATCCTGAAGGAAGAAGAGCTAAATAAATGGAGAAACATCCTGCATTCATGGACTAGAAGACTCAACAGAGTAAAGATGTCACTTCTCCCCAAACTGATCTGCAGGTTTAATGCAGCTCCTATCAAAATCAGGGCAATGCTTTTTGTGGACATAGGCAGCTTATTCTAGGCATAGGCCTCAGAATAGCTAAGACAATCTTGACAAATAAGAACAAAGTGGCAGGAATCACTCCAGCCAATATTAAGTCTTACTCTACAGCTACAGTCATCAAGATAGTGCAGTGTTGGTGGAGGGATAGTCACACTGATCAATGAAACAGAATAGAGGACCTAGAAATAGGCCCACACAAACATGTTCAACTGATTTTTCGCAAAGGTGCAAAACCCATTCAGTGGGAAAAGGATTGCCTTTTTAACAAATAGTGCAGGAGCAATTGGACACCCACAGGTCTAAAAAACAAAAATCTAGGTCTCATATCTTATATAAAAATTAACTCAAAATGGATCATAGTCTTAAACATAAGACATAAATAAAACTTTTAGAAAAACATAGGAGAAAACCTATAGGATCTGGGATAAGGCAAAGAATTACTAGGCTTGATGCCAAAAGCATAACATATAAAAGGAAAAATTGATAAATTGGACTGCATGAAAATTAAAAACTTCATGTGAAAGACCATGTGAAGAGGAAGAAAAGATAAGCTACAAACTGGGATAAAATATTTGCAAACCACAAAACTGGCAAAGCACTTGCATCTAGAATATAGCCAGAACTCTCAACACTAAATAGTAAAAACAAACAATCCAACTGGAAAATGGGCTTAAGGACATGAGCAAACATTTCACCTTAGAGGATATGCAGATTGCAGATAAGCACATGAAAAGAGGTTTCATATCATTAATCATTAGGGAAATGCAAATTAAAACCACAATGAGATATCGTTTCATACCTAATATAACTCAAATAAAAAACAGTGACAATACCAAATACTGGCAAAGCTGTAGATAAACTGGATCACTCACATATTGCCGGTAGGAATGTAAAAGGGTACAGCCATTCTGGAAAGCATTTTGGCAGTTTCTTTTAAAACTAACACACAACTACCACATGACCCAGGAATTGCACCCCTGGGCATTTATCCCAGAGAAATAACGATTAATGTTCACCCAAAAACCTGTACACAAATGTTCATAGCAGCTTTATTTGTAAAAGACCAAAACTGGAATCAGCCCAAATGTTCTTCAACCAGTGAAAGGTCAATCAAAGTGTGCTCCACCAATACCATGGAATACTACTCACAATAAGAAGAAATGACTCACCAAACTTATTGTGGCAACCACTGCATGATGTATGTAAGTCAAATCACTATGCTGCACACCTTACTTATACAGTGTTGTATGTCAAATATATCTCAGTAAAACTGGAAGAAAAAAAAAGAAGAAATGAACTATTGATACAAGCAACAACTTGGATGAATCTCTAAAGAATTATGCTGAGTGGAAAAGCCAGTCCACAAGGTTACATACTGTGTGATTCCATTTATGTATAGCTTTCTTGAAATGACAAAATTTTAGAAATGAAAGATACAGTAGTTGTTACCATTGGTCAAAGAAAGTAGACAAGGGCTCTATTATTTCTTACTGCAAGTGAATCTATGATTATTTCAATAAATAAAATTTCAGTTAAAAAACTACATTTCTCAAGACTCTCTTGCAGCTAGGGGTGGTCAATGAGCTAGGAAGCAGAATCTGTCAGTAGGACTTCTAATAAAACTCCTTAAGGAAGTCACAGATGTCTGGTATATGCCCCTTTCTCTCTTCCTCCTGCTTCTTTCCAAGAATGTGAATATGATGAGTGAAAATCAGCAGTTATCCTGGACCACAAGGCAACACTGAGGGAAGAAATCACATGCTAAGGATGGTGACATAGAAAGATAGAAGGAACCTTGGTCCCTGTCACAGTTTATGCTTTTAGCATCATAGCTCATGTGATTAACATCCTCAGGAGTTGTGCAGTGCACAACCTGGGCAACCAAACACCGTGATGCAACCACTACCACGAAGCCACCTGGTATTAACCTGGGCTGTTAACCTTTAGATTTCTATTACATAAGAAAGAAATAAACTTGTTTTATATAAGCTGAGAGAGCATGTATGTGTTTTTCGATCTCTGATAGCAGCCAAATGCAAATACCAAAATCTGTATTCAGCAATCCTCCACCCACCATCTTCAGAACAATGTCCTGAAAGGGTGTATAGATCATGGATTTGAAGTGATGCTGTATCACAAATTTAGGGGTCACTCAGTCCAGTTCTCCATTCATAACAGCCCAATTCATACCAAGTGTGGCTTCCAGCCTGGTAGGAGACCAGTAACCAGTGCTAAGCTATTTGAGGGGAGAGGGGAGGCGGGATTAGAATAGGTACTAAATAAATGTTTATTAAAGGAATTAGTGGGCCCATCTAAGTGAGATAAAACATCTGGCTTACTTTTTTTTAAACCAGTATTTATCAGCATATACATACTTCCAGCTTGGGCCAGAAGCTAGAGGATCAGGTCAGGGTCAGCCCAGTCCACTGGGAAGCATGGACCGGAGAAACATGGTGAGCCCGGACTTCATATCCATAACTGAGGTCTTCCCCCAGGTGCACCTGGAGCCACCACTGTTTCCCCAGGCAAAGCTGAGAGGAAGGAGGCCCCCCCTGCCGCCGTCCAGGGCCTGGGCTACTCCCTCGGTCTGTGCACCATTGTCTCAGAGATGCTCAGGACGTCCCTTACCCCTTACGTGCTGAGCCGGCCTATTCCTGGAATTTGGTCCAGGTCCAGTGCCTCAGGCCAGCCTGTGCCCTGCCATGCCTTGGAGCCCAGAACCCTGTCCTCTGTTAGGGTATCAGGTCCCACACCTCCTCTCCCAGCAACTAGGGTGTGAAGATTATTCAAAAGAAAGAACTCTAGTCCTCCTTGCCCCTTAAACAGGGTAGCAATAAATTAAACTAAGACCTCCAAATTCCCATCAGTTTTTCAGGGCTGGATGGAACCCTATGTGAAACAAGGTGAATTTTCTCTTTCTTCTATAACAAAGGAGACTTAAAGCAATTCTTCTTATACAGAGTCAAAAGAGCATGAGCTTTGGGGTTGAACAGTGCTGATTGAACCCCAGTGCCACCATCTGTAATTGTATGACATTGGGAAAGTTTCTTATCTGAGATTTCCTCTCCCCAGCTGTAAAATGCAGATGACGGCCACTAAGTGTGGACACTGGTGCATAATAGGTGCACAATGAAGTTAGCTCCCTTTGTATTCCCCCTTCAAATGCCTCTTGGCTTCTTTGTTTCATAAACTGGTTGTGAGAGCATTTCCAGAAAAACATCGCCTTAAGGAGAATAATGACTGCAACCCTGGGGAGAGTGGATCCCTCCCAACGGGCTGGCTTTGAAGGGCGGAACTCTGTAGATTTTTTTCTGTTTGTGTTAAAAAATCCCTTTATTTACCCAGTGCAGTGAGTGGGAATTGCTTGGACCCTTCAGAGTTGGGGCCTCCGAGGCCTCGTGGTGCCCACCCTGCGCTTACCACGTCGGCGTGATGGCCACTTCAAAATGCACAGTGACTGGGTCGGAAACGTTTTCCACGGGCCTGATGAACTGGTTATAACGAGCAAACAGTTTGTGAAAGAGCCTCTCCTCAGACGCACAGCCTGCACATCCTGCAGCACCATACAGAGAGAGGGGTTAGAGAAGCAGAAAGGATGCTGGCTGGTAGGGAGGTTCCAGGGGTTTCCATCCCGGGAAGGCGGGTGCGGGACACCAGCTTACCCCCAGCACCACTGCACCTGCCCCTCCTGGCCATGCTCCCCTTCACCACCGAGATGAAAAGAGTAATACCAGCATCTCAGGGCTAGTGTGCTAGCAAACAAAATGATGTTAGTAAGAGCACTTCTAAAGTCTATGGCAGCACAGTGTAAAGGGATAAATAGACACAGCCTTGAGATGTTCAGTTATGTCACTGAACAGAACTCACCGTCTTACTGATCCGGTAATTAAAGAAAAGTCCTGCCCTTTCTTGTCAACATACTGATCTGACTGGTCTCTGTTTCTACAACCAGCAGGGTGTGTAGCTGGGGAACCTTCTTCAATCAAACTTAAATAACTAGTAATTTCATTAAGGTCTTAAGCCCTCCTCCTTTTTAAAATCAACTTTGAATTTCAATCCTTGGAGATGTGTGAGAGTGCAAAGTTTTTAAGGAAAATTTACTTAAAATATTTTTTATAGAATCCCCAAAGTTCTTAAACAATAGCACTTTCAGTCATTAAATTTAGACAATAATATAATGCATGTCTCTTTGTATTTTCCCAAGAATGCACTAAATGTAGGTTACTTGCTTTCATTTGACATAATTCATCTCATTAAGGCCCCCTCTATATTTTTCCTTACAGAATTCAAATTTGATACCTGAAATACTATTCTGTAAATTTCCCAAAGGGATTTATACCCTGAAAGAAAAAAAATTTAAGGGGCTGAACAACTCATTAGGCAAAAACAAAGGAAAGGATAGCTGTTATCTTACTAAATAAAAAGTGTTGTTTGACATGCATTTGGAAACACAGATTTCAGCAGG